TAGTCTCCATCTTCTGTAGAAATCTACCTTAGGAATAGCTGTCTCTTTATTTGTGTTCCAGCTGTCAACTTAAGACTCAGAATTGCCTAGAGCTGAGCTCTGCTATTCTAAGCAATGCTGGGAGCCATAGGTCACAGTGACGTTGGAGTAGAGATCCTTCCATGTTACTGGTGTGATAATGGAGGATCCTCTTTGTCAGGATGCAACTGAAGTTCATATTCTAATTAATTTATGCTGATTTCCTTTGAAATCACAAATCCCACTGATGACTCCTGCACTTCTCTTCCATGTTTTCTTTGGTCAGGAGTGATCCCTTCCCTGCCTCATGCCTTTGTCCTTTCTTGAGCATGTCTCCCAATACTTTAGTGACAGATACATCAAAGTCAACTCTTTTTTTTTGCTGTTATTTTAATTAGTTGTTCAAAACATTACAAAGCTCTTGACATATCATATTCCATACATTTGATTCAAGTGGATTATGAACTCCCATTTTTACCCCGTATACAGGTTGCAAAGTCAACTCTTGCAGCTGCAATTCTGGAAGACTCAGACATTGATCATCCACTGCTTCTCCCACCTCCATATGCACTATTAAGGAAATCAGCCTTCAGAACAAGGCTTCATTCTGGAGAAGCATGACCACACTCAGGAACCCCTATCACTGGTTATCTCTGTGTCTGGGAAGCTCTCTTCCCCTTTAAGGATCTGAATGTGTTCAGAGTAAAGGGAGAGCATGAGCAAACCAATTGCTAAATTCCTTTAGCTCTAGTAATATATAAATCATTAATAATATATCTAATAATATATGAATCATTAGAAGAATGAGAATTTTGAGAATTTTGAATTCTGATACAATCTTCTGATAATGAAGGGCTCTTAATCTGTAATACAACCCAGGAACATTGTGTTAATCCCAGAGGTCTGATCAGGCAGAAACTCCCCAACAACTTTAGTTTCATGATGAGATGGGGGTACAGGGAATCAGTACATGTCACATGTAGTAAATGTCAATGTAGCAATTACAGAATTTCCATTAACTTCATAGTGGTAAACTATTTATATAAAGTTTTTATTGTTTCTTTTATTTTTTTAACAAATAGAATATTTTTTTTTGTGTTTAAAAACTAATATTTTATGCATTTGAAATATACAGAGTAATTGATAATGTGTGGCATATATGTAATTTATGAGACAAAATGAACACTGAGATTTGGGTTACTGACTGTATGTACCATTGTGTGAGTCTGTATTCCCTCCCCTCCTTCACCACTTACCTTTCCAACATCACTGGCCTCTAGAAGTGGTCACTGCTCTGAGTTTTATCATTCATCCACTTTTTAAATAAATAATTTTGTCACCTATGCATGAATTCACACTTTGAGTGTGGCTTACATTTGAGGTTTACTAATAGATATGAAAACCACATGTTAGTTTTGATGACTTGCTTTTTTTCAATGTAATGCATTTGAGATTCATCCAAGCTATTAAGTTAAACTGAGTTTATTCATTTCCCCTTTGGCTTAATAATCTGCTGTGACAGGGAACCACAGTTTCTGTGGCCGTTTTCCTGTCTACCAACATTTGATTCAATCCAGTTTGGGCTGTTATGGATCATGCTGCTGCAGTATGTGCCTTGATGCATTTGTGCAAGCTTTTTGTACTTAGGAGTGGAAGTGCTTGCTCATATAAGTGAGCAAATATTCAACTTTGTAAGACAAGGCCAAATTGTCCTCAGATGATTATGGCCATTTAAGACTCCTGAGAAGCATTAGTTATGATCAGATTTCTTTCCCTGCCCCAACCAGTTGCGAATAAAATGCTATCCTATTTGGTTCTGATTTTCATTTTTATTATGGATGAATCGATCATCTTTTTCTAAATTTATGAAATATTTGTTTTCTCCTTTTTTATATTTTTGGCCCATGAAATTTCTCTTCTTTCTATTTATTTGTAAGAATCTTTTATAAATTCTGTAGTTTACTACTTTGCCAATTATCTTAATTGTAATTGACAAAGATAAGTTTATTGTTTTAATGTAGTTAGATCTGTCAATCATTTCTCCTGTTGATTCTTGTTTTTAGGAAATCCTTTCCTGAACTGATAAGACACATTCTTAAATTTTCTTTCTTTCTTTCTTTCTTTCTTTCTTTCTCTCTCTCTCTCTCTCTCTCTCTCTCTCTCTTTCTTTCTTTCCCCCAAGTTTTGCTTATCATTGAAGTTCTTAAACCATGAAGAAGCTTTTCCTCTCATGGATAAAAACATTCCTTGCACTTTTTATAAAACAGTTCCTCTTTTCCTCAGGGGTTAGTGATGCCATCTTTGTTGTCTCCCTGGCTCAGTCAGAAGCTCTGCCATGTTGCACTATTAATTATCTATCCCTACAGGAATACCAGCTTTCCTTACCTGCATAGCTGTAAAATGTCTTGATACCTTCCCATCACTGCCTTATTCTTCTTTAGAAGTGTCTTGATTACTCTTGAGCTTTCAAATCTTTCATATAAATTTTAGGATCAGTTTATGAGGTTCTTAAATTTTTTTTGGTTTTTGATAGTGAAACTAGAGTTTGTTCAATCTATAGCTCCATTTGGAAAACAGTGATTTCTTTATGATATTGCTGCTTTCTGTGAACATGGTAGACCTATCCTTTTATTTAGATCTGATTAATATTTTCTAATGATTTTGAAATTGTCTTCATAAAGGTCTCACACATCATTTATTTTTTTATTTCTAGGTACCTTATAGGTGTTTTTTGTAATTGTGAAAAATCACATTTTGTTTGTTTCTATATTTGTATTCCATGACTCTGGAGAACTCTCAGTTATAATAAATTAAGCGTGCAGTATTTTGAGTTTTATCTTAAACTACCACATCATCCCTCCCTCTCTTTGTGGTGCTGGGGAATGAATACAGGGCCTCAGTCACGACAGGCAAATGCTCTACCACTGAGCTATAGCACTAGTCCCAATCACATAATCTCTGAATGATGACAATTTTTGTTCTACCTTTTCCAAATTTTACACCTTACATTTATTTTTTCTTTTATTACTCTGACATACTCATATCATAAGGTTGAATAAGAATGTAGGAGAGCAACTTTGTCTTGTTTCTGATTCTAAGAGAATCCTTTTAAAATTTCGCCATCAAAAATTATGTTAGGCTGGGCACAGTGGCACATGCCTGTAATAATACCAGCGGCTTGGGAAGCTGAGACAGGAGAATCTCCAGTTCAAAGGCAGCCTCAGCAACTGTGAGGCACTAAGCAACTCAGTGAGTCTCTGTCTTGAAATAAAATACAAAATAGGGTTGGGGATGTGGCTCAATGGTCGAGTGCCCCTAGTTCAATCCCTGGTAGTCCCCCTCCCCTGCAAAAACAATTAGGTTAGATCTAGGTTTTAGGTAGATAACTTTATCAGTTTTAGAATTTTCTTTTTATCTTGACAAATTTTTTTTAATTAAAAAAGGATGTTGAATTTTATAAGATGCTTCTTCTTTTCATCTTATTGGCTAATATGATATATAATGTTTAAACATATTTAGATAATCCAAGTAAAATCACACAGCTGTTAATATACTATATTTCTCAAAACCTACTTCTTTTCTGTCCCCAACTCTTCTATAACATTAGTCCCTAAATTGACATTGCAGAATGATAGCATGTGAAATGTAATGGGTAAAACAATCATATTTTTCTTTAGTTTAATATAGTGCTCTTACTAGTGTTGAACTGTCATGGGAGCCAGAAAGAGGAGGTCCTAGAGAAGAACCTCAACTCCAGGCACCAGGATTCTTGACATGCATGGTGGGAAAGAATTTCAGCATGCTTCAGATATAGAGGCACACAGAGATCTATATAAGAAAAGCAGAAAGTACACATTCAAGGGAGAAAGTCCTTCTTCTTAAGAAGAAGAAGTCCTTTTAGGGATCTCAGGCTTCTCTTTGAAACTTGGTGAGGAGTGGGCATGAGAAGGTATGTGGGGATGACATCAAGCTGGTGATCACAAGACCATTTACAGTGATCTGGCTGTTTTCAGGATCCTTAGGTTGATGTCTTTTGCATTATCTGATTAACAGATTAACACTGGGAAAGTTCCCTATATTATAGGTTCATCTCTCCCTTTCTTCAACTTATTCTAAAAATGCATGTATCAGTGGGTTAATTAACAGTGTAAAAGGCAATTTTCATAAGTTATTTTCTAGTAAATTTAAGACTGTGAATACAGATGTATAGATTTCCCAGAAACTTGGGAGTGACAGGCCTGGGACAGAGAACTGAGTTGGGGAGGAAAAGCACGAGGAACTCAAGTACAGAGCTTTCTTCTTTTTATCACCTTTTGTCTCCTTTCTACCTACGTTATTCTATCCTATCTCAAAACCAACATTGCAGTTCAGGGATAAAACCAAGTTAGTTGTTCCTAGTATTTATAACTTCGCTTATAAATGAGAATGACCTGTACTTTTCCTCTCATACTGTTCTTTGACCTTGAAGATCAACATCACTGTGGTTTTATAGAATGGTTTGCAGAGGGTCTGGGGTGTAGCTCTGTAGTAGAGTGCTTGCCTAGCAGGCGTGAGGCCCTGGGTTTGATCCCCATCACCAAAATAAAAAAGCATCAGTGGAATGGGTTGGAAAACATTTTATTTTCTCCATTCCCCTCTCTCTTTTTCCCTTTCTTGATTCCCTGAAATAATCTGCATAAATTTGGAACACTCTGTTTCCAAAGTTAAGTAGAATTTATCTGTAGAACCTTTAGGCATTGGGATTTTCCTTGTGAAAAAAACTTTTATCTTCTAATTAAATTCATGTAAGATTGTAGGAATTTCATTTTCATCTGTTCTGATAAATCATATTTTCTTAGAATTTGTTCTCTTGGTCTATGTCTTGCTAGTCATCCTAACTTCAAAGAAATTAGACCTATCTGCCATTTCCCCAATGTGCTGTTAAAAGTTTTGATGTAAAAGCATTTTAGTCTCTTTCTCATCTTTTCATCATTTATTTACAGGTAACAACTGTTCACATTCTGGTCAGCTTGGAGTTGGTCGACTTGCATTCAAGTTCAGTTCAGCCAAGTTGCTCTCAACTAATTTTTCTAAAAAGATTTTCTTCTAATTTCCTCAAAGCTGATTGTCTTATATTTTCAAAAAGAATATGTGAGGTATTTCTTAGCTGTTCATACCACACTCAGTGTACACATTATAGCATAAACATAGTTTGATTACTTAGCAACACAAAAAAAATCTGCTGATATTATTCAATTTGGATTTTATGGCCTAATTCTGCAGCTACAAAAAGTCATTTAAAAATAAAAAGACAAGCAATAGCAATAACACACCCTTAATTTAAAAACCAGTTTTAAAAATTTCTTCGTAACATTTTGTCTTCTAAAATTAAATGCATTAAAATAAACAACATCCCTGTTAGATGTGAACTTTCTGGATAATCTAGATTTCCATATAAATGAGTAAATAGAAATTAAAGAAACTTTTAGGTCTGTCAAGAGCTCAGATTATAATTCCATGGTAAGTAACTAATGAGCTAATTTGCTTTCATTAAAACTCTCCCTTGGTTACCCAAGGTCAAGGTCAAGTATAATTACACATGGCCATGCTCCCTTTAGGAGTACATAATTAAGGCATGCAATAACAGTCTGTAATTCAGGTTTTCATGATATATCAAACTGCCACTTGAAATATGAGATTCATTGATATTTTGAAAATATTTTGCAGGAAGAATCTGTTTGTTTAGATTCTGAGGTAGATGAACATATTAACTGGTTTCAGCAAGAATATATGAAAACAGAAAAGGACTGGACAGAAATTGACAAGAGGATGAACCAGACCTTGGAAGTAAGAAGAAAGATGATTGGCAGCAGAACACCTCTGAAGGACATTCTTAAAATGTTTCCTTTCTTGAAGTGCCCTTATCAGGTATTCGTATTTGGTTGTAACAATCTCTGATTATAGCATCAAATTGATTTCGCCCTATTTCCTCTTAGAATAGTAAATGACACAACATAGCAAGATAGTGGATGTGATATTTAGGGTGTATATACAACCACTGATGGGCAGAAATTTCAGGAAGCTCCTTCAGATAATAGGCACCGGCTGCATTAAAATAAACAACATCCCTATTAGATATGAACTTTCTGGATAATCTAGATTTCCATAGAATTTCCATAGAGAATTTCCTGGACATATTGTGGAGGTTGGGGGAATCATTACTAGGGATATTTGACAGTGTGAATCATTTCCCCTTTGCATGCTTTTAGATAATTAAGATAGTTTATTAAGAGACTCTTAGTATGCAACATTGATCACAACAAAGTAGATTTTGAGTAAAGGAATCATTTCATAAAGCGATCTTAAAAATACATGAAGTTTGATGGATAATTCAAATACCTTTCTATTGAATTTACTTAGGGTGATTATTCAAGATTATTCACCACCATTTTAATTTACTTTAACAAAAGATTCATCAAAACTTTTACCCGAGAACACATTTCATGGAAGAATTCAATCAACCACACTGAAAATTAAATATTTTACATATTCTTTTTCAAAAAGAAAGAATTTGCCTATAAGTATTATTTTAATAATAATGTCAATAGCAAATATCTAAGTGTTTACTCAGCAGCAGATATGTTCTCAGGGCTTTATGCAAGTTAATTAAATTATTAATCAGCCACCCTATCTTGTGTTTTTTTTTTTGTTTGTTCCTTTGGGTTGCTAGGAACAGTAATAGCCACTAGCCAGATCAACACACCTGCAAAATATAGTTTTAAAGCACAAACCTGATGAACTGATGGTTTATGAAGTCTTCAAACTAGGAAGCATGTTTTGAATGTCAATAGTTCCTAAAGTGCCTGGCAGAGTCCTGTGTGTGAACAAGCAGTGTTTGTTTGATGCTGAAGGAATTAGCAGGTGGTTGGGAAGGCTGCTGTGAACACTGATGTCACAGCCTTGGGTTCTTCCCTGGAGTGCAGTCCACCAGAGGTTTAGTGATTAAAATAGATGAATTATGGCTAAGAAGCCTTTCAAAGTGCCACAGATGATAGGAAGTCTAAGGCCCATCATGGCTGAGCCAGGAGCAAAGACTACAGATCTAGGGCTTTGTCCAAGTCTCTCGATGTGGCCTCGGTATGTTTTCCCTCCATATTTCCTTAGGCTTTTCACCTTTTATGTCCAACATGTGTATTGGGGGATGGTGTTGGTAATGACTGTCTATATATTGTTTTAAACAAAAGAATAAAACATTTTTAGTTCCTTTCAGGAAGCATTGCTCTAACTCAACCCTGCATATTTGGGATTTACAATATATAAAGCCCTTGTTGTGTTTCCTAAAATTAAAGTTGACCTTACTTACAAATACCTGCTATCAGCTATCCCTGTAGCAATCCTCTGCTCCACACACCCCACGCCATTGTGAACCATGTGGAGCTTGGGAGTCGTGGATACAAGTGCAGAGGAAGACAGCATCGGTAGGAGGAAGTGGTCCTGGCAGTTAATACTGACCCTCCATTGCTTCCTGTACTACCCTCCTTCCCTCAAAAAAAAAGTTTCAACAGAAAATTTAAAAATTAAAAATTTTTTAGATTCACTTTATTAGACTATCTAAAATATTATCAACTTGGGATCTATTGTATGTGGCAGAAGACAGTGGGGGGGGGGTTGAAGAGAGTGTTAAACAAAATTTAAACATCCACATTTTCTAACAAATACTTCGAGATGCTACAGTTTTCATCTTCCTGAGAAGCTATTTCAGTCATCTTCTCTAATAACTGAAGTGAAAGCCAGGCACTATGGCACTATGTCACATTGGAGGGAGGCGAGATGGGAGGATGACTTGAGCCCATGAGTTTGAGGCCAGCCTGGGTAACATAACAAGGAGACCCTGTCTCAAAAAGCAAACAAAAGAAAACACCACCACCAACAACAACAAAAGCAAACCAAGGGAAGTACATAAGAAGAATGCTAATAGTTTCAAAGGCAGTTTTAAAGAATCTGAGTTTTGCTTTTGGCTATAATGGAGTACTAGACTCATAAATGTGGATGAAGCTGGAAGAACAATGGATGAGGCAGCTGCTTCCAGACATCAGTTAACAGGCATTGCAGAATTCCAATCCTTGGTAGAAGGAAAACACAGAAGATATACCTCAGTTCTCTGCTGCAGGGTCACTTTCTGGACCACTGCCTAGAAAGGTGGAAGCCAAGCAGAAGATGGTGGTCTCACTGAACTGGATGTGAAGGAGTTGGGGGAATGAAGAGCAGCTGGTTTGATTTGGAGGAGAGTATATAGACGCCCATACGGGGATCCCACAGAGTTTTCGCCTTAGAACTGGACAGCACAGGATGAGACTCCATGGTGATTTTACAGAAAAAGTCTGTTGCAAGATTGCAAGCTGATTTCAGAGGTCACATGATGTTGATAAATAAAAATTCTGCCTGGAGTAGAGAGAATTGCTGGGCACCCCAGGCATACACTTGACACTGCAGAAAAGTCCATGCCATATGAGTGATAATCATGCCCTAAGCTTAATGTTGCCCTGTGACTAAGGACAAAACCCAAAATAGACCTGCCCAAACGAATGATAAAAATGAAGCCTGACAGGACCGGAAGAAACAACTGGTAATTTATCTGCCTGCCAGAACAAAATTTAATCCGAACTCCCTATGGTGGATCACTGCGTAGAGAGTGGTGCCACTCTGATTGTTACCTCTCGATTCTGGGACCGAAGTCATGGCTTTGTAAGAAATAGCACCACATTTGGACTGGGGATATAGCTCAGCTCGCCTCACATGCACAAGGTGCTGGGTTTAATCCACAGCACCACCAAAAAAGAAAGAAATAGCACCATGAAATAGCACCATGTTTTGAGTGCTGATTTGGACACCTGACCCAACCCTGTAAGTATTGCCACTTAACTGATGCCACAGCCAAGCCTTTAAAAGGCCATTCCTTTGTCCTGTCAAGCCAGTTACTAAAGGGTATGGGAACATGGTAAAATCAGTGAATTCCAGGCATCATCATCATGGAGAATCTCATAGAGAAACTGAATATGTGAAAAAAAGGAACCAAATTGAAATTTAGAATGAAAAATAGCATTTACTTGAAATAAACTCTTCACTGGATAGGCCTAATAGTATATTAGAAAACACAAAGAAGAAAGGGTCTATGAATTTAAAGATAGATCAATAGAAATTATTCAATCTGGTAATGAAAAAGGATTAAGATTTATAACCTGTGGGACAAAAGCTGGTAGAAAAGGAGGATTTTCTGCACTAGGCCATTCACAGCTGGGAGTTTAACTGTATGGACATGGGGGAGATTTGTGCCAATAAGTGAATACACTGAGGATAATGAGGGCCAGGTTTTTCACTACTGAAAATTGACAAGTATGGAAAAAGGAAGGTTAGAGGAAGCCCTGAGGTGTTAGATTGGAATTGAAAGTAAGTATCTAACCTCATGGCTTTTACTATTTATATGTACATATACAGTATAGATGTTTGTATGTTTTTTCCTGTGTGCATCTGTATAGATTGTCAACCTAAATAACAAAGGGAGATTCTCCAAAGATGATGAATTTATCTGGGAATGGGCATGGCGTTAGAAGTATATGTGCAATGGTAAACCCTGTGTATTGAAGGACATTAACGCAAGAAGAATATTATAAAAGCAAAATGAGTAGGATTGCATAAGTTGTTTTTGAAACAATAATCACTGGCTACCAAGGATCCATATCAAAGGTGGTGTCAGTCGGAGTTTGGAGAGGCAGCTGTTGGACAGATGTTCTTGCACAAGTATTTTTGTGTAAAGTCGTGTGACCTTTGAGCAAGGTTGTAGTTCTCAGAGGCTTTTTGTGGTACTTTTTGTTATCTGTCATACAGGCAAGTGAGTCCTTTTTTTCTCAGCTATTGGTTTTATTTATTTAATTACTTTTTAGTGTTTGACACATGTAACTCCATTTTGGTTCTGACAACTTTTGCAATATATATAAAAATATATTTGCTAGTTTTGTTGCTATAAGAAATTCTAGTGCAACACCACCTTTGTAGTAAGGAGTACACCTAGAACTGAAATTTTAGTTTCTAAATGCTAATATTAGTTTATTTATTCTCCAATAAAAGGAACCAGGGCTCTTGGAGAAATGGCTGACTCAAAGGCAAGAGCAAAAAATTTAGAGAAAAAAAGCAAAAATCAAAAAACAAGGTGAGCCTGAAATATTGTAAAAAGCTAGAAATTAAGAATGTGTTCATGGACTAGTGAAATATACAAGAGTACACAGGAATCAGCTTAAACCAGCTCCCCACTGGCCAAACCTAGACAACTTGAGACAACAAAATATAAATAATTTAAGGATCAGATTTGAAATCATTTGATGGTAATTTATTAGTCAGTTGTGACATAAACAAATGTGTAAGTAAATAAGTGTAGAAGAAAAGAAAGCTCTGCACTACAATAGAAATCACTAATAAATTTAGAAAGGGTAGAATAAGAAAATTGCCATTTGGTAGTAGACATAGTGACAGCTGACAGAAGCCACAATCATCAATGGATGCTGAGTCTGGTGAATAAAAGTTACATGAGGAAGGAGTTATTCACCTAAACTCAAGATATTTCCCCCCAAAATATTACAACATGTAAATCAACTTTACAGAGGACAAACTTGGCAGATTCCATCTTAACTAAGCAATAAAGGTTAATATCTCCAACACTAGAACGGATTGCCACCTTGTACTTGCTGATGCAGTGAGAAACGCTGGCATTTTTGCTCCACATGCATAAATCATGAAAAAATATCATGTAAACCTAAATTGAGAGATGTCCACTACTTTAAAAAATGCCAGGGACATCAAGCTGTTTCAGACTAGAGAATGAAGAGAGTAAAGGAACCTAAATCTCACCTGTGATCCTGAATTAGATCCTGGACTCATAAAAAACAAGATTGGAACAGCTGGATGATTTGAGACCTATAGATTAGATTTTGAGTGACCTTGTATTTAAGGAGAGTTATGGTTTGGAAGTGGTGTCCCTCAAAAGTTCATGTGTGAGACAGTACAAGAAGGTTCAGAGAAGAAAGAATTGGGTTATGACAACCTTAACCCAGTCAGTAAAATCATCACCTGATGGGATTATTAAGTGGTGCCTGAAGGCGGGGTTTATTAAGTGGTGCCTATGGTGTGGCTGGAGGAGGTGGGGCATGGGGGGCATAGCTTTGGGGTATATGTTTGTATCTGGCAAGTAGAGTCTTTCTCTCTGCTTCCTGATCATCATATGAGCTGCCTCTCTCTGCCACACTCTTCTGCCATGATGATCAGCCTCACCTTGAGCCCTGAAGAATGGAGTCTGCTGTTTATGGATTGAGACCTCTGAAACCATGAGCCCCCCAAATAAACTTTTCCTCTTCTACAGTTGTTCTGGTTGGGTCCTTTTAGTCACAGCAGCAAAAAAAGCTGACTAAAACAAGGAGTGTGTGTGTGGGGGCGGCATGTCTACAGCTTTTTTTCAAGTGGATCAGAAATTGGGGCAATTTACATGAAAAATATTTGTGAGCTTTATTATTTCTTCAACTTTAATGTGAAGTTGAAATTATTTCAAAATGGTTAAAAAGCAAAAACAAAAAAACCCAAAAAACTCCTAGGCCTTGGGCCCAGGGAAGTGACATTGTCTACCTTCTTCAGGTAGAATGCTTTTACTTCTGTCTGCTTGATGAGAGAACCATTTTCTAAGGGTATTAATCTAGATTAGCAGTTCACTGGGCAGCCGCATATCCGCACCATGGGCCTCTACAAGAAAGTGCATTCCAGCCTTCTGACAACTTTCAGACCTAATCTTTGGGCAATTTACTTACTTTCCATTTTTTTTTATTAGTGCATTATAATTATACATAATAGTGGGATTTTTTTGTTACTTATTTGTACATGCATATAATACAACAATGTAATTTGGTCGATTTCTTTCCCCAGTATCCCCTTTCCCTGCCCTCCTGGGGCATCTTGTGACCTCTCAGCCTGCCAAGCAACAGTGAGGCCCAATGAACAGTGCGTAAACTGTTCTTTACAGTTTTAAGGAAGGCAAGGATTAAGTTAATGCATAGTAATGTGGATGGCTAATGATCTGAATAATGTTACTCAATGGCAACAAAAAATGTCAACAATGTTACTAATGTCAACAAAAAGAGTGAGGGGGCAGTGGTGGTGGAATTCTCTGAAGGGTAGAATTTAGGAAATGGAAACAAAAGGTGGTTTTGAGAAAAAGGAGCTTCCATAAAGGCAAACTGGCTTTGCTTTGACTTTGTAGTCTAATCTTCTGCACTTAAATTGTTTTGAATTAAATTGGAAGATCTCTGATCTTCCAACCTAAAAAGCACTCCATTTCCCTTTAAGATGCTATGGTTAGGAGCTTTCCAAGGGTTGCCTCCCAAAGTCCAGAAGTTTTCTTCTTTTGCCTCTTGTTGGACACTGCCAAAACCTAACAATGGTGTTTACCTAGAGAAATGTAAGATTCTAGAATCCTAGCTGGGTAACCCAGGAGCCAACATACATACTTTGGAATCCTCATCATTTCATTGAGCCTGCATCTAAAGTTTTAATACTTTTTTTTTTTTGTATCAGGGATTGAATTTATGGGCATTTGACCACTGAGTCACATCCCCAGCCCTATACTGTATTTTATTTAAAGACAGGGTCTCACTCATTTGCTTAGCACCTTGCAGTTCCTGAGCCTGGCTTTGAACTCACTTTTCTCCCGGTCTCAGCCTCCCAAGCTGCTGGGATTATAGGCAAAGTTTTAATTCTTAAATGATTTTTCTTTTAATTCTAGAAATGGAAAACCTGCCATTCCATAAAATAAGTGTTCCCTAAAGCTTTAATTCTACAGGTTTAGAATTTTGTCATGTCCATTATTTATCTTTTCTTATTCATTTTAGGCTTTCATTTTTTTTATCCTCCCTCATCTTAAGAACTTACTTTTCTACCAAAGCTACTAAAATAATTAGTATGTATTTTAAATCAGCATTCAAAGGTTAACTTTAAAGTTATTTACTTCCTTACATGATGTATGTATATATAATGATACACATGGAAGTATATGTGTGTGTATATTATTTATATTATATATATGTATGTATATGTATGTGTATATATATATATATATATATATATATATATATATATATATATATATATTAGCTTTCCTTATGATCTGGTATTGCTTTCTTCTTTTATCAGATATTCAGAGAATTCCAACTTCTTACAAGAACAGATATTTATAAGAAAACAAGGCACATTTTGGAATTCTATTCAGAAAAAATACTGACTGCTTTTTCAGTTGTGGACAATCCAATCAACATTGCATTGCAAGAAAAAATGAAAGAAAACACAGATGAAGATATGTTGAAGTGTTAGTAAACCTGGGGTCGGGTGAGCCGGTCTGTTATCTGTGTAATGCAGGATATTTAGGAAAGCTCTGCTTTGGTAATAAGTACAATTCAATGAAACAACTGATGTGGGGGAAAAAACAATTTTTCAAATGGGGAAAATAGAGGTATGGATTTAAAAAGTACACTCAATACTGTGAAATTACGTTGGGGGAACTAGTACCTGTTAGTTTTATTATACAAATTACAAACTCGACAAGCTTATCCTGAAAGCTGCAGAGTACAGAATTCGTCTCTCCTGGCAGTGACCTAGAAAGCAAAACATGAGGTCTCCAGGTTTATTACAGGTTGACTTAAATAAAAGGTTGTGAAGCATTCCTCTAAGGCTTGTTTGTTCTCTGTGGAACCTAACTGTAAGAGTCCAGATGTTTTAACACCAGCTCTGTTTACAACTGTCGGAAACCTATTTTTACTCAGATACCAACATGTTTGCTCTGACAGATATGAAGATGACAGCCACATGTTTACTCCTCCCAGATGTTTTCGGGGATGATCCCAGCCTTTTTGCAGTTGTGAATGAGAAGGTACGTGGTGTGTGAATGGCCACTGGTTTGCCATTCTACACCTCCATATGGCAATTTATTTAAAAGCACCATAGTGGTCCACTTGGAAGTCTGTTTTGTCATATTTGTAGATATGCTACATTGTAACAAGCTCATTCATTGTGATTTTATGGTTCAGTTCAGGCATGTTTGATTATTTAGCTACTTTATCCATCACGGGGTAGTGACTCTTTTCTTTTTCACAGGTTCAAGTGTCCACGCCTGTGTTGGAAGTTAAAAACCCTTTCAGCATCGACGTCTGTGAGTTTTCTTTATATTTAGACAAAGAGAAGCTCACAAAGGTGGATGACTGCGTGACAGCTGTGGCGGCTCTAGTGGCTACCTTTCATGTATTTGGGATTGAGTGTCCAAGAAGACTGTCCCAAACCCTCAACTTCCTAGAGACATGGATCTTTGATACGCATAGGCCCTGTTTCCCTTCTTTGAAAAAAAAGGAAAGGGAAGTAGGATTTCAGCCCCCAGTTACTTAACAGCTATTAAATATTGTATCAGAATTTATCTCTGGAACAAGCTTTATAAAAAATTGTTTTGATTTAGGATTCTGGTAGAGGTAGTATTATAAAATCATCTATAAAATCAAAGATATTAATGAATTTAAATGCCTTCAATCTTTACACTCAAGATACTTAAGTTCTTTGTGAAATTCTGTAATAAATACTACTGAAGCAATTAACACATTCTTTCTTTTGATTTGTGTTTTTAAAATTTCCATGGTCAAAGCTTTACTTTCAAGGGTGCCCTCCTTAGTTTTTAAAAAAGATACTCTGCACTTCAGGCAAACTCAAATCCTTCCCGTTAGGATATGGCCTTGCACATAATTTGATGTGCCCAATTTTCAGCTGCACATTTATGGCCTGTGGGTAGCCTCCCTGTCTTTGGTCTGACTTGTAAACATCCTAAACTTGAAAATTTTAAGGGGCACATACCTGTAGTTCTCTTACCTTGATGAATTGTCTGGTCCCAACCAGCTGGTTTCCTTCATTCACTTATTGAGAGCAAAGGTACCGTAGTACTGAGGTCTCACATTGCCAGCTGATCTTGCTGGCCAAGCTTCTGCTGTGTCCTGTGTCCACCTTTTATTGCTTCCTTCCCAAGGGAGTAGTGCTGCATGCCCACTCTCCACTGCCCAGAGTCCCACATGAAAACTCTGCTCCGAACAGTGGTGGCACAAGAATTCTTGCTTGGGTCTAAAAAGACTCACTGTACTCTTACTTTTTTTAGAATATTACGCAGGGAAAAGCTACAAAACTAGTTTGTTTGCAATTCTTCAGTACTACAGATTGAACCCTGGGGTTCTATACCACTGAGCTACATCCCCAGCTCTTTAATTTTTTTTTATTTTCATAGAGAATATCATAAGTTGCATAGATTGGCCTTGAGTTTACACTCTCAGGGATAGAGTGCTGAGATTTCCATGGAATCTTGTACCATCCTAATGATGCTTATGCCTTGCCTCTATCATACAATGGCACGCTGTCTAGACTGGATGTGTTAAGTATGATTTAGAAATCTCATTACAACATATGCTTTAAACTAGAAATGAAAAATTCCTGATGTGTATAAATCCTACTTGACAAAACCATGTAATTTTAAGTTTTTTGTTGTTGTTATTGCTCATCATATCTTGGGACATAGTTTGACAAACCATACTAAATCCTAATCCTAGAGATTTATTAGATAGCTGCCCTTTTTCATCTCCTCCTTTTTGTGGTCTTGAGGACCAAACCTAGGGCCTCATGTTGCCGGGCAAGCACTCAACCTCTGAACTATCTCCCGACCCCTACATGGCTGTCTCAATACCCTTATGCTTGATGTTGTCCATGATCTTGTTCTACCTCTCCTGTGTGGCAAGCTTCCTTAAAAATCATACATGTATAAAGAAAGTATCTGTAATTAAGACTTTATTTCATTTATATCAGGTATAACAAGTGCAACTTGAATGTACAGATTCTGAACAGAACATAAAAAAGGGGGAAAAACCAACAACGAAAACTTATTTATCAGATTCATGCAAAGAAACGAATGGGACACTGCAGATGTCACTGACCCTCTTTTACCTTAAATCATGACAAATGCAAAGGACTGCTAACAGATCCCAACAGAGCACATTAAAGGAAGTTCTACATCAGGAAAAAAAAAATGAGAGCAACTAAGGAAAGGGGTGGGACTTTCATCAGAATTCAGACAGCATGCTACAAACTTACTTTCTATTTTTAAAATAGTCCTTGAATAAATGTCTAATCCTGGAATTCAAAAGTACATTGAAAGACTGACAAAATAATTTACTTTTTCCCTTAGAAATGCATTCTTACAAAAGAAACACTGCCAACTATCAGTTTATAGATAATCAAGGGTTTTCGTTTAAAGTGCATCCGAATGCTCAGATAGTGAGACAAAGTATTTTACAGAAAGGGGAATCCTTCCACAAGGGAGGTTCTTGAATGACTGCTTTGGGATTCACCTTCCTGACCTATGAGCACAGACATTTGTGTCTGAGGGTGCGGCTCCCTCACTCCAGGCCCGCAATATAAAACCTAGACACTTGTTCTTCAGCCAACCCTGAAGAAAGTCTTTGGGTTTGGAGGACACCTCAAGACTGGAGACAGCTCTTCATGGATTAGTGTTTCCACCAACAGAATGAGCCTTTCATTGCTGAAAAGCTACTTCAATGACAATTAGAGAAAAGCTCAAGATAATCTCATAAACAGTTCAAGAGCCCTACAAACAGCCCCCCACTGCAATGTAACCACACATTCCTCTGGTACCATCTGACTCTCGTAAACAACACAGGCACCACGATGTATGAGACTGATGCCACTCAGATATGCTACCTAATTTATTTATGTTTATATATTTTATTTTTCAATTCCATTCTTTTATATACATGTTTTTGGTAATTATAGTAAAGATGCTGGTGAAAAGTAATTTGTTTAAGATTTCACATAATGCGTGCAAAAGTAAAAACACTGATTTGAAGAAAAGTAATTTTTACAACACTTCGGCCCCAACAGATGATGGCAAGCAGTTAGGCAATACCATGACTTGCAAAGTTATACTTAGCATCATGTTGCAATTCAAAATATGGCACAAATGAACAATACAGGTAACAGTCCCACTGGCTAGACTCAGCCAGGTTTTGACTAATTTGGTATAAGTTGAAATTCAATTATATAAAAAGGTTTCTGAAAGTACTGAAAAAGAAAAAGTGTACATGAAAGAGAATTCAACAATGTTTACAAAATGCCAAAGTTCTTACTCTGCCCCCCCTTACCATAAATAATTAATGAGGTTCCCTTTCCCCCACCCCCCAGCCTCAAAAAGATTTACAAAGATAAATTTAGCTCAGTGAACAGAACCAAAAGATGACTGTTGTTAGACAGTACCTGGTTAAAAGCTCAAGCACTTTCCTAAGAATTCATATATATTGTCTCTTGAGGAATATAAATATCAGATAGTGTTGCTCTTTTGAGTTTTCGAGACTTCTCGCTTAGGAGTTACATCCGTCCTTGTGCTTTGAATAAAACATGAGCTTTAAAGCAGAAAGCTGATGGTACTCAGAATCCACCATCTTCAAAGTTCATTGTGAGAATTCTTCTCTGCAGCTTTGAACATCAGAATAGAATTGAAAATTTTGAGAGCAGGGCCCAGCTTAATGCTCATGATTTTCACAATGTCCGTTTGAGTCATGAGTAGAAATGCTTCTCCATCGATTTGCTAAAATATGGGGAAGAAACAGAAGAACGTGGATTAGCCAGGAGTTGTGCTGTGGAAGCATCCAAGGTTAAGTTCTTGCTGGCCTCCACACAGGAGCTACACAGAGGCTTGGTGTGCAACTGCATTTCCCAATATTACCTAACCCAGATGACTCAAATTTGGCCTGGGAGCAGAGCCCACAGGAAAATGAAAGTGCCCAGCCCTTCTTGTGATTCCCATGAGTTAGGTGCCTAGTCAAGAAGAACATAGGAAAATCTAGGGTGCCCCACATCTAGTTCAGCAGACTTTTAAATTAAAGATAATAAGCACACAATGTGGACATAAGCCAAGGAATTCGAGAAAGTATTCAGCTTACATGCTAACATTTTTTTTTTTTTAATTTGTCCTCTACCATGAAGGAAAAAGGTGACAAGGATGACATTTACTTCTAGCATAGTCATAATTAGTCTTTACATACATAGAAGAAAAATAATCAGCAGTGTTACCACGTGGGTAACAGTAAGAAAGACCCTCCTCTCTCAGGGCTACTTCTAAGATAAACGGCCTATTCGTCTAGAGAGCACTTCCTGGTACAAAGACACACTGCCACAAAGATGATGTCTGATGTTCTTGGTGGAGAGATTTTATAGATTTTTATTTTGCATGACTTTCAACTCTTGGGGCATTCTACCACCTTAAAATACATTAATTCACTCCTCTTTAGTTTATCCCTTTGCATAAAAAGTAAAATACACTCGTTTTCCCTCTTAGACTATGTTAAAAACTTCTTACAGCAATATTGCATCATGTAGTTGAATTATGTCCCCTGCAAATTCATGTGCCAATGTTCTAACCCCCACAGTCCCTCAGATTGTGACCTTATTTGCAAATAGGGTCACTGCAGATATAATAAGATGAGGTCACACCAGAGTAGGGTGGGCCCCTACTGGTGTCCACAAAAAAAGAGGGAAATTCGACATAGAGACAGATACACACAGAGGGAAAACAGGGAACAGTGGCCGCAAGTCAGAAGGAGAGGCTGCTTCCTCAAGTCTGTAGGAGGAGGCAGCCCTGCCCCACCTTGACTTCTAGCCTTCTTCAGATTTCCAGCATCCAGCACTGGATAATAAATTTCTATCACTTTGGACACTTACCTGTTTGTAATGGTTGCCCTAGCAAACAGATATAACCCTGAATTCTGCAAAGAGTTCAATAAACAAAGGCTGACATAATAAAATAGCCATTTCTTAAGATCTCTCTTCTCTAAAAATAAAAAGCCCTGTTCATCTAAATTGACTATATAGTATATATAGTGTACTTAACTATTAAGAACTAGAGTCATCTTATTCAAATTCAAGTAATAATTATGTGGAAAAAAAGTTTTGTTGACCTCAGTAAGAAAACCATCTGCTGCAGTAAGCTAGACAGAAGGACTGCCAGGGTGGAAGCGGATTCCATGTTCTGGAAATTTGGCTCTGGTTTCAATTGCTTGTGCTATGAAGAAGGCCAGGAAGAAAGGCAGGCTGATGATAACACTTCACTCGACCAAAGGAAGACCCTGGCAGAAGGGACAGCCTGACAGAAGTCTTCTAGATCCTTAATGAAAATGTAAAGTAACACATTGCATCCCAAGGAGGGCACAAGAGACTGATGAGTTGATTCCAATTCTGGACCCTACTGGAGGTTTGCAGCAGACACCGAGTATCCTTCAATGTCTATGTAAGACTTCAACATGACAGGTAACTGAAGAAAAGGAACATGTAGAGAACTGAGAAGCTGGGATTTGAAGTTAAGGGTATAAACTGGTTAAATTCTGGTAGATTATTATTTATAAGATTGTGCTAGAATGAAAATATCTTGAAGCCAGTGCCTAACTCTGTGTTATCTCATACAAGCTGCTCTGATGTGTGGCTCCAGAACGAACTGCAAGTGGAATGACATAAACGGAAGGAAGTGCATTGTGAGAACAGTGATCATTGC